AAATATGAATTCAATAAAAATGTAGCTTAAAAAAATCTATCCCAATGGCAGCCATGTCAATTGTTGTAAAAACCCATTTGGTTCACCAATGCCCTTTAGGGAAGGAAATCTGCCAACTTTACCTGGTCTGGCCTAACGTGACTCCAAACCCACAACAATGTGGTTGACTCTTAACTTCCCTTTCAGTAATTAGGGATGGCAATAAATGTTATTCTGACACAGTGATAACAACATCCCATGAACAAATAAATAAAAACAGAATTTGTAGTGACATGGAGAAAGATGGATTGATTAGGAAGCATCAGCATGGATTTCTGAAGGGGAAATTGTGTTTGACTAACTTGCTGGGGGGTTTTGAAGACTGAGTAACAAAAAGGGTCAGTGAGGGTGTACGTGGACTTCCAGACAGAATTCAAAGCACAATAGACTGGTGCGAAAACCTATAACTATAAAAGGAATAGTAGTGACATGGATGCACAGTTGGCTGATTGATAGGAAACAGAGAGCAATGAGAGAGATTTAATAAACCGAGTCATTGGATATTTTTCAGTGTGGAGGAAGATGGATAGTGAAATTCTCCCTGGGATCACAAATGGGATCCTTTCTTTCCCTGCTATACATTTAATGATCTAGAATCTTGGTCTGCACGGGACAATTTCAAAGTTTGCGGGTGGTTTGTAACTCAAAATCATTGTAATCTGTGAGGAGGCTTGTGCAGAGCTTCAAAGGACAAAAACAAGTTGGTGGAGTGGGTGGTTAGGTGGTAAATGTAGCTCAATGAAGAGAAGTGTGAGATGATGCATGTTGGGAGGAAGTACATTGACAGACAATATAAAATAAGACACATTTCTACAGGGGTTGCAAGAGCAGAGGGACTGGATGTATGTGTGACAGGTCATTGAAAGTGGCAGGACAGTTGGAGAAAGCAGTAAGGAAAGTATATGGTGTTATTGGCTTTGTATTAACAGGAGCATTGAGGACAAGAGCAAGGAGGTGAGGCTGAATTTATACAAGAGCTCAGATGGAGTCTAGTACACAGTTCTAGTGTCAGAAAAGGTGTAAATGTTTGGAGAGAGTGCAGAAGAGGTTTTTCAACAAGATACCATCGCCCTTGTAATAAATGACAGTATTCCGTTTGCATTTCTATGCGCTTGCTGTATTTGCATACTAAAATGTGATTCATGGCTAATTAAACCAATGCAGTTTGGCAGCCAGTTTTACAACACTGATAACTGTGATATGATTCCTACCCTCTCGTTCATTGTTGTAAAAAAGCTTCACCTCACACATTCTTGACAGGACACAGGTTTGTAGTAAAGTTACATTGAGCGTTGGACAGTTCAAATGTTTCAGATTGACCCTCTGCAGTATTTGCAGTTACGAGCACATGGGCGCTTACATAGACACTCTCAAATTCACACACATGTGCACACTCACACAGACACGCCTGCTCACACTCACTCTACACTCCGTGCATGTACACACACACTCACATGTACACACACACACACACACACACACACACACACACACACACACACACACACACACACACACACACCTCAATAGGCACACAAACATGAAATTGTACAGACTGGTAGGCGTGATACATATACACCCTCATACACACACAGGAATATATATGTATAAAGATGAGCACACACAAACACATACCTACACACAAGCACACACAAAGATGCAGATATCCACATTTTAAAGATATAAATCCTGCATATGTACAGAAATTCATTTAGAGAAGACCACATAAATATCCCCATGGAGACACACTCTGGGATAAACATATCTCTTTATACACACCATGTATGAACACAAGTACAAATGTATACTTCAAAATCGTCACATAGCTCAAGCCTACATTGTTTAGATAGCACAATTAATCCTTTTTCCCACATTCTAATTATTTGTTTCTTCATGTACCTCACAGGATTGTTACAGTGCAGAAGGACACCATCCACCCCATCACTCCTGCCTGTTCCTATTACCTGGTGCCAATCTCCTGCCTTTTCCCCATCTCCCTGCACATCATTTCTATCCAAGTAACCATCCAATGTCCCTCTTGAATGTCTCAATCAAATCTGTTTCTGTCACAGTTCCAGGCAGTACATTCCAGAACCTAACTACTCGCCTTGTGAAAACATTTATTCTCACATCATCCTTGCTTCTTTCGTAATCACTTTAAATCTATGCCCATCTTGTTCTTTGTTTCTTTATGAGCAGGAACAGTTTCGCCCTCTCCACGCTATCCAGCCCACTTGAGATTTTCAAAATCTAATCATATGCACTGTAATTCTGCCTGGCATTTTAAAATCCATGCCTGCTTCAAAACCCTTTGCACATCACAGATAGCATAGGCACCAAACAGAGGGAAGAAATATCGTTGCAAAGAGATAGCTTAGAAACCTTGATCCAATCCCTTGACTTCCACAGATGGCTGACATCTATAAAAAAATTGAGGTAGTTGCTTCATCAAAACCTTTTGAGTCACAAAAAGGAAATTTCACAAGACAGCTCCAAGTGGTCATTTTTATTTCTTGACTTCTGTTGGTTGCAATCACTGATCACTTATTCTGGGTGCTGTACTATTACTTCATCCTGCAAATACACGTAATGGTTGTTTTATAGTTTTGTAGAATTGGCTAATCAGATTATTAGCTATAACAAACACTGAGACTGGTGGAGAAACACAGCTAGTCTAGCACTATCTGTGGGGGGAGATAGAGAGAGAGACAGAGTTAACTTTTCGAGTTCAGTATGACAGCTCTTCAGGACTTCTTCAAGTCAGACCACATTCATCATGTTAGCTCTGTCTCTCCATATCTCTCTTTCTCTCTCCACAAATGCTGCGAGATCTGTTGAAATTCTCCAGTATTCTCTACGTTTGTTTCAGATTTCCAGCATCCTCAGTATTTTGCCTTTGTTTGACTTGCTACAACTGTTTCCAGGAAATACATAAACCAAGATGCTGGGGATCTGAAACGAAAGCAGAAATTGCTGGAGAAACTCATCAGTCTGGCACCATCTTGGGGGGACAGAAAGCAGAGACAATGCTTTGTTTTCTTCAGTCCTGCTGAGTTTCTCCAGCATTGTCTGTTTTTGTTCCAGGAAATATGTCAGTATTCACTCACATTTTCCCTTGTCTCCCCAACCCCCCAACCACTCTCTCGACATCTTTCATCCCTACTTTCTAACTCTGTCTTGTCCCCTATCTAAAGGTGTTAAATCACACTAAATTCAGATCTAAATGTGATCAAAATCCAATGGTTCCTCAGCGAAGTGGTCATTCCTGAAGATGGAGCCTAGAAAACAACACCTTGCACTTATGTGGAGAGAGCTGTAATATGGAGAGCCATCCAAAGCCACTTCACAGGACAGTAAGCAAACAAGATTTAACAGTGATCCACATTAGGACAGAAATAGAGACAAGTAACTGATAGCTTACTTGAAGAGGCATAAGGTGCTCCTTAAAGAATGAGTGGCAGGTAAGAAGTGGACAGCTTTTCAAAGGGCAGCCCAGAGGTTAGCGACTGTTAGAATGGTGGCACGGTGGCTCAGTGGTTAGCACTGCTGGCTCACATCGCCAGGGACCCGGGTTCGATTCCAGCCTCAGGTGACTGTCTGTGTGGAATTTGCACATTCTCCCTGTGTCTGTGTTTTCTTCGGGAGCTCTGGTTTCCTCCCACAGTCCAAAGATGTGCAGGTTAAGTGGATTGACTATGCTAAGTAGCCCATAGTGTCCAGGGATATGCAGGCTAGGTGGGTTAACCATGGGAAATGTAGAGTTAAAGAGATGGGGTGGGTCTGGGTGGGATGCTTGTCAGAAGGTTGGTGCTGACTTGATGGGCCGAGTGGCCTCTTTCAGCACTGAAGGGATTTGATGATTTGGCAGCTGACAGTAAACAATAAGAAGCTATTTGATTGCATGAGCCATTCACTGGATCTTGATTTCATTCTGCACCCCGTTCTGTGTATTTTCTCCACAGGGGTCAGTGAAGAATGTCCAGGAGTGAGAAGTCTGCTGCTTTCCACCTTGTCCAGCACAGGTGCCTTAAATCCAATGGCATGACTGGCACACCAGGTCTCTATGCCTTAGAACAATTCCCCACAGTAGTTTCACCCATCGAGTCAATGGAGAGCTCTGCAGGTAAAATTCTGAATAAACCCCCTTCATTTTCACTCTCATTATACAGAATGCAAATGGCCATCATAATTACTCCTGTTATACAAGAATCCCAATGCCTCCCATTGAAGTGAGTCCTAAATGATTGAATTCCTTCCCATTTAGTCTATTACATTAGGTAAAAGTGCCATAGACAGCCTATCTCATTAGAGAGAGAGAAATAGAGAAATGTACAACTTCAGGTGAGGGGAGAAGTTGAGAAGGAGAGTTCGCAGCTGATGCAGGAATTGAACCCACACTGTTGGCATCACTCTATATTACAAACCAGCCATCCAGCCAACCAAGCACACCAATGGAGACATACATCCCATTTATTCCTGTAGAATGCCAAACTATCAAATGAGATCTTTTTCTCAGACCCTGCCATTACACGGAATCTAAATATAAAACTTCCCTAGTTATCCAGGTTTAAATGTTCATTAAATACCATAATCCCAGAGAGACATGCAACTGGCAATGGTTTAACCAGAGGGTCGCCACACCTCAGGTGAGGGGAAGAGGTTGAGAAGGAGAGACTTTCATGATAACCTCAGGTGGTGTCGGGATTGAAGCCACACTGTTGGTGCTACTCAGCATCGCCAACCAGTTATCCAGCCCCTGAGCTAACTGACCACGGTCTATTAAGGCTCATTAATGTTGTAATGTTTATTACACCAAAAACCCAATAAACTAATTCATGAGTTGAACACACAAAACACTGTAAACTCACGATTACTGACTGGCAAATCCCACAATTCAGACATGACATTATGTTCTCCCAGCAGAGTAAGGGCATTTCACAATTCCTGAGAGCTCAACATACCTTCGGTTTTAAGCATTTTTTGTCTTTATCCGAAGCATTCGAAACTTTTCGGCGTATCATTTTTCCAAGCTTTGATTAAACGCCTGATGCGAAGGGAACAGAGAAGATGCTCCGGTTAAACAACAGCTGAAGAAGCAACTGTCGTGAAACCACAAAGTTTCAGAAGAGTCGAGCTTAACTTCCTCACAGAAGCCGGAAGCATTATCAGCAGAGATCAGATACGGGAACATCTCTGAAAACCTCTGAACCAGAACTAGAGTACAAAAGTGACACAGTGTCAGCAAAAAGATGCCTTGATCTCTTACACGAATATGTCACCCATAAAATATTAGCAGGTGTCTATGTGACAAATCATTAGATTTTCTCTACTTTCTGTCTTTGTGATTACCTTGTGTCATTTAGTTAATCACCATTTTTTTGCAGGTTACAGGTTACTCACAGCCAAAGATATTGAGCTGCTGTGATCATTTTCTGATTAGATTGCCGCATTCAGAGTTGAGTTGCGTTATCTCTACAGGATACCAGGAAACTCTAATGGTCCGATACACACGTAATCCCTCTGTCTCAACTCTAGCCTTCAACCTCTCTTTCTTCACTGTGGACTTTCCCATCTCCCTGCACCATTTCAAAAGACATTAGGAACAGAGCTCAAAGATCAATGCTATCTGCGACCTGGGAGTGTTTGATGGGAACAATGCAGAGGAGCTTTCCTTTCAGTTAAAGAGTATAGGTTGCTTTACTCTGTAACTAGTCCATGCTGTACATGTCTAGTTATTTGTTGATGGGAACAGTTACTTTTTATTTTATAGAGTAGAGGGCACTTTACTCCGCACCTGTCGTGAAAGCATTTGATGGGGACAGTGTACAGGGAGCTTTACTCTGTATCTAACCCCATGCCTTCTCTGCCCTGTGAGTGTTTGATGAGGACAGTGTGGAAGAAGCCTTACTCTGTATCTAACCCTGTGCTCACTGTTCTGGGAGTGTTTGATAGGGATAGTGTAGAGGGAGATTTATTTTGTTTCTAACCCTGTGCTGTATCTGACCTGGGAGTGTTAGAAGGAAACAGTGTAGATGAAGTTTTATTCTGCATCTAATCCTGTGCTGTCTCTGTCCTGGGAGTGTTCCATGGGACAGTGTAAAGGGAGCTTTACTTCATATCTAACCCCATTCTGTCCCTACTTTGAGACTGTTTCAGGGGCCTGAATAATCCTCCTTCTGCATTGTTTCATCATTTAATTTGACATTATGCTCTAAAGTACTCGGGAAAGCCACATTGGCCTTTGAGAGAAAAATTGATTTTTTTTTCCCATTTGAACATATTTATTGTTTAATGATTGGAAATGGAGCTAATTGCTACTTGATCAGATGGTGTAATCAAATCTGGAGGACCCTATGATGAAACCTGACAAATACATAGAGAAGCTTAGAGTTAGCAAGAACTGCCAATGCTGAAGTCAGAGATACCACACAATGTGTAGCTGGATGAACACAGCAGGCCAGGCAGCATCAGGGGAGCAGGAAAGTTGACGTTTCAGGTCAGGACCCTTCTTCAGAAAATCCGAGAAGCTGGTTCTGCATTTGACCACAATCTGTTCTTGTTCTATCTTGCTCTGTTCAGTGTCTGAATGCTGTATCAGTTTTCAATTTGTGTTTATCTGTCGTTATCTCAGTCACTCGCCCCCACTCCTGTCCCTCCATTCCAATTAAAATTTATGAATAATCCATGATAATGCTATCACTTTAAAAGGTTATTTTGTCTTTTTTTTGAGAGGTTGTAAGGCAGAAGTACCGAATTGAATATTGAGAATAATTTAAGTAAACAACATGTTTTTTTTTAAAGTTGGAACGATGGAAACAGCCTCAGTGTGGCTAGCTCTCAGAGACCTAGCATTTTAGTTTTTGCTTTAGCTTTAAGCAGCAGACGCTGTTTGGGGTCTGAAAAGAGTTGGAAGTTTCAGTGAATGTCTCCTGGCTGCTACTCTCTCTGAATTTTCTCTTGATGTTTTTTCCTCCCGGATTGGAGAACTGCATGTGAGAATCTGCCTCTGAATTTGCCTTTTTGCCTAGGGGTGTGTTTATGGGATGTTACTATATTGGAACAGTTAATTAGATAGTTAATTAAATAGGTACTGCATGTATTACATGGTTAAGTTTTCCAATAGTTAAGTTATTCTAAATTTGTCTTTCTTTTGTTTGCATTTTAACTATAGTGATTAAATAAATTGTGTTTTGCTTAATGTCAAGTAGTTTGACTGGTTGCATTGCACCTGGAACACGGCACGTCACATCTACCTTTAAAATAGGCTACCTTCTTAAAATATATTGAGGGGGTCTGGTCTGGTCCATAACAAATCAAACTGATGCATTCACTTACTTCTACATCTTGTAGCTGTAAAAATTAGTTAACAAAATAAATCAGCAGCAGTTTTATAAGTCGAGGCATTGTTTACAAAACTAAGGACTACATTAAACATTAAATATATGCCTTAGTCCCAGCTAGAACTTTTGCCCAATGACTGACTTTATTTTGTGCCTCAACAGTAAGGGGAGCAATTCCTGCACATGCTCAGTGTGAATATCAAAATGTCAGCTGTTGCATCACAATGAATAAGTTGGCTTGACACAGACTAACAATACTGTGCAATTGCAATATCCCATATCCATCACATATATCATTCACAAATTTAATATTATATAAAATACTCTTCTAATGATTAGAAAATAATGAAGGGAATTGATCATGTGGCTTCAGTGAAAGGAATTTCCAATGAACCCAGAGACAGTGAAGAATGAATTTTAATATTTTTCATTAAAATCACTTTGAATTAAATATTTAAGCAGATAGTCATTATTAGATGTATAGTTCCGAGCAATGCTCTTTGGATTAAGAGTCTAATTATCTAACCAAGACACCTAGGCCGTGAGATATTCTCTACACAAAGCCTTAAAAGTTGTGATAAAATAGTATTTGAATCAACACATTTACTTTGTTAATTTTCATGGCAAGTTAAGCAGTATTCCATATAGTACAGGCAGCGTTGTTTACCCTTTTGAAGATGCTATAATTTCTCGATCTTAATATCATTGCAGAGTTTTAACAATGCAGCCATTGTTTCTACAGTGATATAAATACACCATCACACTGTAGTGATTGGAACAAAGGCCAGGTAGATCCATGAACAATGAGATCCTTGATCGCTGTTGTTAATCTAGGCCAATCAGGAATCCCTGGCTGACAGATATAAATGGGAAATTCAGAGAGTGTCCTCAGTCTAGGGACTGGCTGTGAGCTGGCTGGTCAGAGCTCATGTACTGTGCACATGTCTATAAAGGGTGACTTGCTGTCAGGATACCATCCACTGTGCAGTTATCTCATTTACAAAAGTGAATACCATAGAGTAAGGTGTTTATAGAAAATTCCTCTTCTATGCCTGGCATCAGGAACTGTCCCTCAGTGGTGTCCCATTATGGCTGATGCTTCCTTCACTCACCTCCCATCCAATGTATTCCTCTTCATAATGTGATGCGTGAGAGAGGGATAAAGAGAGTTTGTGAGAAAGCCGGAGAGTGAAAGAGAGTGAGCCAGAGCATCAGATTGATTGAAAGAGAGAGACTGTGTGTGAGAGAGGGAAAGAAAGATGGATCATGAGAATGAGAGAGAGAAATTGAGAGAGAGAGAAAGGTGGTGAGGTGAAGATAGAGGGAACCCTGAAACAGAGATGGAGGCTATTCATATGGATACACATCCTTGTCCCCTTCCCCTCCTCCTCCCTCCTCTGACCTATCCTGACTCTGGGCCAGATGAGGAAGAATACTCAGCCTCAAAGGCAACCTGCTTCCAACCCCTACTGTCATAACAAATTCCACAAAGGTCAGCTTAGAATATTCACCACTAGAGGGGAAAATGAGTGAAACCCAACTCCTTCTCATGGTTCCAGTTACATCCCATTCTTTGGTGATCAGTATTTGAGACTTAGTGTGTCTTTTTCCAGCTGTGTTTCTTGAACAAAAAAGCCAAAATAAGTATTAAGTAGGCCATTCAGCCCATTGTGTCTGCTCAGCCACTCAATGAGATCACGGTTGATCTGATAATCCTCAACCCCACTTTTCTGCCTGTTCTTTATAACCCTCGATTCCCTTCCTGAGTAAAAATCTGTCTGTTTCAGCCTTGAATATACTTTCTGGCCCAGTCTTTTCTTTATTGATTAACTCTTCAGTACAGACATGATGGGCTGAAGGGCCTGTTCCTGATCTGTGTTCTATAATTCTATATTCTGCTAAACATTTCTGATGGCCATTTTTATGAATTAGTCATTTTGAAAATGATCAATTTGTTTATTACTTTGACATTGATTTTTTTAAAAATTTGCATTGTGGGCTATGCATGGTTTCTCCACATCTTTAATTTTGTTTCAAAATTGATGTTCAACATTTTGCCATACCGAATCTTAGGGAACTGGTGCGGGGTTTCTTGCTGAAGGGGAATGAGAGACGCAAAACGAGTCTGATTGCTTTTTGGAGATGCAATGAAGAATTGAAAGCGTTGGTAATACTCAGCAAATCTTGGAGCTTCTGTGCAGGTAGAGACAGAGGTCAATGACTGTTCACCAGAACAAGTGCAGATTATGGGCCTGAAGAATTAACTGTTTCTCCCCCTATAGTGCTGCCCAACCTGCTGAGTATTTCCAAGCTTTTCTGTTTCTATTTCAGATTTCCACCATCTGTAGTGCCTTGTTGTTTTATTATATGTTCAATTCTGGGCTTTTGAATGATCAGTTCATTTCAATTCGAAATGAGAAAATATTTATCACTCAAACCAAAGTATATTTTTTCTGTGAAAAAAGCCAAAGTAATTTGGATATTGCTGCCTGAATATTGCATAGGGTTAGATTTAAAGAAGTGAAGATCTTTGCATGATGTAAACGAATAGGTTGTGTGTAATTGTCTGACAAAGCAATGGTTATAAAGTTTATCATATAAAAATTTTGATAGACTTTGTAAATAAAGGCACAGGGCAGAAAAGCCAAAATATTTTGCTAAATGTACATGAAACATTTGAATTTGCTGTGTCTACAGTTCCTAATACTGGTCACCCAAAGGAAGTGAGGGGGATGGCTAATGTGGGA